GGGTGGGTCGGGCTGCACGGTCCGGATGGCTTCTGAGAGGAGGTAGCCTCCCTCGAATCCTTCCCACCAGACCTTTTCCCGACCACAGCCACCTTTTCGGCGTCACCAGGGCCCTTCAAGTGGCCTGGCTACTGTGAGCAGGGCTGGTCCACGCCGGGCCTGCCCCAGAGTTACAGTCCGCCGAGTCCTCATTCTGACCTGTGACCAGGAGTGTGCCATGGTCGATGGGGACCTAAAGCCAGATGCAGGCCAGAGCCAGGGGGTGGGGGCGCTCTCCGAAATTCCCACGAGGCCTTGGGTCACTCCCTGGATTAGGGTTGGGGATTCCGAAGCCTTCGCCTTAATCCTGTCTCCCAGGCCTTTGATCAGGACCCCACTCCAGAATCTCATGACCCCGCTCCCCCAACCCAGAAGAGTTACGGGGTGCAGCCGCCACCCCTACCACAGTCTCAACACCTGGAGGCCAAGAAGGCATGAGAAAGGGTGTGTGTCTGGGCCCTTTCTCAAGTGTGTCACTTGGCCCATTGTGGGTACCTGTCTCCGGACCTCAGCTTTCACTTGTAGAATGGACACATACATATGCGCAGGAGCGCGCGCGCGCGCGCACACACACACACACTAATTGGGGGCGTGTCTGAATAGGGAGTACGGAGCGCTGGCATGCAGTGGGTTCCCAATAATACAGACAGCTGTCACTGTAGCCTTTCCTCAGCCTCCTGAGGGCAGGAATGGTTTTGATTTTGAGCTCTTCTTCCCCACCCCACACAACCACTGGATGCAACTGAGGCGACGGGAGGGCTCCTCCTTTCACTCAACTGGGAAGTTCTCCCTAGGTCTATCTCAAGTTCTCTCCTTCCCAGACCAGGATGGGGGGGAGGGGAAGTTCCCTTTAAGGGCCATGGGGGAGGGGGCTGCCGGCCGGCCCTCCTTCCGCCCCTCCCTGGCCCCCCTCCGCCTGGGGGGACCAAAGTCCGGGCCCCGCGCCAGCGCATGCGCCCGCCTGTGGGCGCTGTCCCGGCTGCGAGGGCTGCGAGCGCACCGACAGACAGACCGACCGACGGACCGGCAGTCCGCCGGACAGACAGCGCAGGGTGCCGGGACGTGGCGGGACAGCGATATGACCGGCCACATACAACAGCCAAGTGGGCGCGGGAACCCCGGTCCTGCGCCCTCGCCTTCCCCCGGCCCGGGCCCCGGCCCTGGCGCCTCGGAGAGGGTAGCGCTCAAGAAGGAGATCGGACTGGTGAGCGCCTGTACCATCATCGTCGGTGAGCAGGGCCCGAGGCGGGGGGTGCCCTGGACTGCAGGGCCAAGGCTGAGGGGGCATGCAAGCAGTTCCAAACCAGGGGCACCCCATCTCCTGGTGTTCTTACGGGTCTGGTTCACAGGGACCACCGGAAAGCAGAGGCTGGGAGCACCTGCGGGCCTGGAGCGCATAAAGCCCTGCACTGAGGTTCAGAGATTTTTGCTCCCACCTCCTTGACCGCCCTGAAAATTTGCAGCTCAGGAAGTTGTGGGTCCCCTCCACCGCTGGAACCCTCCTTCAGCCTTTACCTCCCAATCGGTCTTCGACAAGGCCATTTGCTCTGTTTGCTCCACTATGAAATGGAAATGATGACTATAGTCTTGCCTCTAGTGCAGGAGCTGGGCAAGTTCTGGGTTATGGGTCAGCGTGAATCCCTACTGTTTGCTGGGTCCAGGTACCATGCAGAGTGAGTGATCTGATCTTGGAAAGCAGGCAGAATTGCAGGTAGGCTGGACAGGTAGAGCCTGCACAGAGGAAAAATAGGTTCAGAGCATGTAAATTACTACCAGGTTTGGCAGCTGGAACCAGGGGAAGGAAGTGGAATAGCCCATGGCTGAGGATAGTAGTGGGCAGACCAACCCTGCAGAAGGGCCACCTGCTCCCTGGCTGGGATCTCAATGCACACCCCATGGCCTGGCCTGCTGGACCCCAGCTTTCACGTGTGTATGGATCTGTGTGACCCCAGTTGCCCTGTCCGCTTCCACATAGGGGCTTCTGGGTAGGCAGGGTGGTGGAATTTTCTCCTTCTGTCTCAAGATGTGAATACTTACTTCTGGGAACCAGGCTAACTCAGCCCAAGTGTCTCTGAGCCCTCCTGAGGGACATTTTCTGTTCCCTGCACCCAGAAGATATAGGCTTGGGGGATGAATTCCTGGGGCCTTACCCCCTGTGACTGGTCCCCAGTCAGTGGGAGCTGCTTTGTTCACCAATACCCTTCTACCCTCAGATTCCTGGAGATGGAAGAAGTTTGAGGGGCTCAGCGGGGCAGAACTAGTGTCTTCACCTCCTCTGCTCTGCCCCCATATTAGAAGCTCCAGGGCCACAGTTTCAGTCTGACTCTTGGCCATGCCCTGCCTTCACATTGAGAGTTGCCCCTGAACACAGTCCCAGGCAGGTAGCTCCACTGTCTCTCCTGCTTCTTCTAGAATCCTATCTCCCAGGAGCTGGCCCTGACCTGGCCCTGGGAGCTTCCTGGCCTAGGTGCCTCTGACTATCTGCTAGAAAGAAGGGCTGGTTCTGGGAACTGGGTCAGAGTACTTGTTAGAGCTTTGCTCCAGCCCATGCCTTCTCTGTTCTCTAGGAAGGGAAAACTGAGATGGGCACTAAGGGTCCCATCTCTCCCCATTCACTGCTCCAGGGCCCACCTACCCCACTCAGCCTCCCATCCTGGGTGGGCCCATTTTCTCTGCGTCACTAACCTGGGAAGTCTAGTCAAAGTCAAAAGTCTGCAAAATATCATATTTTATAGCATTCCACACCTTCAGAACTTATATCCTGCTTTATAATCTATCCTTGTTTATTATTGGTTGCTTAACTGATTTCCCAAACTTCCGAAGTTCATCCCAGGAGATCCTGTAATTCACTCCTTTATTACATTCTCTGTCCCATCCCAGGCTGAAGAGTAAGAATTTTAGGAATGAGGAGATATGGAAGAACTGGCTCTAGGCAGCAGTGAGACTCCACCTGAAATACGTTTAGCTGGTTAAAAACAAAGCTTGTGGGGGGTCTAATCCTAACCAGGGTAAATCAAGCCAGCTGGGCAGGACTGTGCAGGACAGCATAATCACATCCAAACACTGTTCAGAGAATCACTTCTTTTTTACATTATAAAAACTCATTCTTCCTTTCCTCCTTTAAGTCTCATGCCCATCTTGCAAGATGGAAATTTTTGTACCCATTATACAAATGTAGAAACTGAGGTTGGAAGTTAAGTGACATTGCTCCAAGTTGTGGGCTCAAGATTTGGAACCAGATCCGGATTCAACCCTCTGTTCAGTGCCCTTCACACCGAGCTGAGCAAAGTTGGGGCTAGACTCAGAGCCCTTGATGGGGAAGGCTTGGGCTTGAGCTGCAGGCTCATCCAACAAAGGTAGATTGAGCTCTCCACTCCATTATGGAGATACAAATAGATGGGGAGGGACGCTGGGTCTCTCTGGCAGCGGTACATAGAGGGCCTCTCATCTTGACTTAGGGACTTCAGCCATCTGCCTCACGTGATCCATAACCAAAGAAGAGATGTGCCTAGACCCAGCAGAGGGGTCACCCTGGGTCTGCTGACCAGGTTCTTCCTCCACTCTGTTCCTGGGACTTGGATGTTCAGTTCATGTAGGTGTTTGGGGATCAGGCTCAAGTATATTCAGGGACTCAGGAAGTAACTTAACAAACTTCATCTTCCCAGGAGCCAATCCCAGTTCCTCCAGTCTCTGTCAGGTCCTGGTACATGGTCTCTAGGGCTGGAATTTAGCTGGGCTGCTCAGAGAGGATGGGCCTCTGCAGAACCCCAGCCCCTCCTCACTAGGAGCCAGAAGAGACGTAAAACTACATAGGAGTCTATCCACGTGTCACCAACGCCCCATTTACAGATGAGGAAACTGAGGACCCCAGGCTGCAACCTGCCCAGGGTCACATGTCCTTGAGGCATGCTGGGACACTTTTGGAGGACAGGATGATCCAACTACAAGGATGGGGACCTGCCAACCCTTGATACATTCGTTCATCTATCCCGTAGCGCTGGGCACCACCTAAGAGGGGACAAGGCAGAGGAGGAATTCCTCTCCTCCTAGAGCAGACATACCAACAGCAAACAAACCCGCAAGCCAAACGTGTGGCCAAGGGGTCATGAGAAGCACTGAGACCAGACAACTGAGCCGGGAGGACGACCTGAAGTGCTGGGAGGGGGGGTGGAAGAGTGGAGATGAGTGAGGAGGTGGGTAGGGTTTGTGTGAGGCTTCGCAAAGAGTCATAGGAGTTTGCCTTTTTCTCCTTAGGAGGCGGGAGCCCTGGAAGGGTTTGGAAGAAGAGGAGTGGGATGACTTACTGCACTCCCTATGGAGGAGATCCTGTGAGGACAGGAAGGCCAGGCAGGAAGCCACTTGAGTCACCTGGACAAGGGGCAGTGGTGGCTCAGAGCAGGGTGGCAGCTGTGGAGGGGCTGAGTGTGGGGTGTGGAAGAAAGAGAAAGGTCAGGGATGACACAAGGTCAGGGTCTGAGCAGTTGGGAGGATGGTTTGTGATTGATTGATTGATCAGGGAAGATGAGGAGAAGAGCAGGTTCAGGGAAAAGGGACACAAAAGTCAGGAAATGCTGTTTTGAACATGTCGAGTGCCAGATGCCTATTTGTTTGGTACACAGGCTGAGTTTGGTAAAACGGTGCATGGTAGGGATATGAATTTGGGACTTGCCAACAGAAGCCAGGGGGCTGGATGAGATCACCAAGGGAATGATCAAGGCCACTCAGTGTTTAGAAGTCAGACAAGAAAAGGGACCAACAAGAAAGAGCTACCAGCCCAGGTACAAGGATCAGGAGGTGGAGTAAAAAGAGGGTGATCACTCCGTCACAGGCCACTGAGGAGTCAAGTAAGATGTGGGCTAGGGCTTGACTGATGGATTCGGCAGTGTGGAGCTCACTGGGGACCAGGACAAGACTCAGCCTGGAGGTGGGGCACAGGCAAGATTTCCTAAGCCAGGCAGGATGCACTGATGTAGGCAGAGGCTCTATGCTCTGCTCATCCCTTCTCTCCACAGGAAAATGGGTTAGGCTGGAGGTGCCTGCCAGTAAATGAGTGATTCTAGTCACGTCCTAGATGTCCCCACTCACTGCCTTGAGGTACTACCAGGACCTCAGTGGGAGCATCTGTCATTCCAGGGAGGTACCTGACACATGCTTACTGTGAGGACACAAGGACATTTGTGTACTTGGGGGACATGCTTCACCCAGGTCTCAGTAGGGTTCTGGCTGCTCACGCCAGGGTGTTGGGAGTCCATGGGACTCAGGTCTCCCAGGGAAAGGCTAAGTGTCTTGGGTGAGGTCTCCAAGGTGGATGACAGAGCGGGATCCATAAGCCATCTCCATGGTCTTTCATGCCAGCCCTTCCTGGCCATTCTCCTGGCACTATGACAGTGGAACAGGGTTCAGGTTCTAGAGCCAATGGAAGCATCCTGTGGGTAGTGTTGAGGGCTGCCCAAGAGTGGGATGTTCCTCCTTGAGCAGAGTGTTTCCTTGGGCCCAATACAGATGTGCAAGGTGCATCCTCTCTGCCAAAGTCAGGGTCAGACTAGCTCCCTGCTGTCCGCTAGTCCAGTGGCCCCACCTGGAAATTGGGGAAACTGAGTCTCAGAAGGGAAGTACTGATCTGAGGTCACGTGGCTGACTCCTCCATGTTTCCAGGGATACGGTTGCAGCCAGTGTCCTGTCCTGGCTTGACTTCCCCACCCCTCCCCAAATCCGACTGTATATTCCCACAACACACACCCCACGGGCAGGTGGCTCCTTCTACCAACCAGACCTCCATGGCCCACTCCTGCGACCTCCGCAGTCTGTTGCTGCCTCTCAGAAATAGGTCAGCACGCACAGCAGCACCCGCAGGGAACAATGGCCCTTTCTTCATTCCTCCAAGGAGCCGGGTAAGCCCCATCAGGCCAAACATCTTAATGTGATAAAAACCACCCAGGAAAGGCTCAAGGAAGAAGGGCGGGAGGAGGAGACCCAAGGGAGGCCTGCTAGCCGGGGAAACCTGCATCTGACCCTTGCCTGGCCTAGCAGCCTGCTGGGAGGACCTACAGGGACCAGGTGTCCCATTGGGTAGAGAGGAACAGGGAGGCCTCAGGACCAGCATCCCTCTGCTTGTCGATCAGATACCCAACAAGATGCTCAGCAGTATCTCTTGGCCCATCTGACTTCCTCTTAGGCCAAGTTCCTGCTTCTCTTTTTCCTGAAGAGTAGGATTCCTCAAGGGCTGGACTTGTCCACTGCTGTTGCCCTCATCAGGCAGATCTGCTGGGCCTGAACACAGGGTCTGAGGAAGGAGATCTGAGCTCATCACCAACACCAGGAGGAGCTCGGCAGGCCCCTGGGTGACAGTCCATGCGGCTTCAGCAGTTCCTCCTCTATTTGAGCACCCGAGGGCTCCCAGCCCTGTCCTCAGCATCCTCCTTCCTCCTGATCCTCTGCCACTCATCAAGCCCACCCTGAGCATGAACCTTCAGGCCCACAGGGAGAGGCCCTTGAGGACCTCAGAGACACTGGTTTGCTCAGATGGTCCTTTGAGCCACAGAGGAAGAAGTCCTGAATGGTAGCCCGAGGCCACATGTCCAAAACAATAGTGGTCCTCCCTGCCACCACCGCTACCCACCCCCAGAAACCAGCATCTGAGTCCCAGCCACTTGGCACCTGAATAATGCTCTGCCTTTTTCAGACCCCAGCTCCGGAAGGTGAGGTACAAGGTGTGGCTCCCCCAAGTATGAGGTCTGTGAGGCTCAGCCAGGCTCAGCTGTGTACAGGGGTGGGGTCTCCACGGGGTGGGTGGCTCAGGGCCCTGGATGCCCCCAGCTCCAACATCCCCGGCTCCTTTCGAGGCCACCCAGCCCCCGCTGGCTTCCAACCTCACTGGCTTTTGGCAAATCCTGCTCCGCCAGGTCCTGAGAACTGCTGCCGGATGGAGCCAACTCAAAGGCCCTTTGGAAAACCCACAGCCCACCCAGGCCCAGGGCCCATCGCGGTGGGTGCAGGAGGTGGCCCCTCTCCCCTGCCCCCCAGAAGCAGATCAAGGGCGAAGCTTACCTCTGGGGCTTGAGGCACAGGAATTATTTCGTCCTTATCTGGATGTATTTAGGGCTCCTGGGATGTGACCAGAAAACCAAATGGGGCTCTCGTGGCCGTCCAGACTAGAAATCTGTGTCGACTGGGGACGGGGGTGAGGGGTAGCACCGTGGACAAGGAGTGAATGCAGATTGGAGGCCACAGCTGTGTCCTCGTCCAGCCCCCGCCTATGGGTTTGGCAGGTGGAGCGGGCGGATTCAGCCTTGATGGATGTGTGACCCCCTCCCTGGGCCCCACCAGGTGGGAGTGATCCTTGTCCAGGGGCGCTGAGCCCCAGGTCTCACCAGGGCTGTTTCTGTCCATGTGGCCTGTGGGTCTGGGGCTCTTTCCTCTTGGGCAGACCCGAATGCAGATCTCTAGTGAAGCCACCTGATTCATTTGCAGGATGGTGAGATCCACGTGAGCAGCCAGAGCCCTACTCCTTTCTAGTTGACAGGGAGCTCAGGGCTGAACAGAGGCTGAGTCTCACTCACCCTGGGAGTCTGCTGTGCAGGCCACAGCTCATCTCTGAACATTCCCCACTGTTTCGGGAAGCAGAGGGCCACATCTCGTTTCCACTCCCAGACATCTGGAGGCCACCGGAGCAGCCCCCTCTGCCCACATCCTTCGAAGACCCAGAAGGATGAGTCTTTGGCCCCAGCACAGGGCAGGCCTTCCAGAACTGTGGCAGATTCCATTTGCATGGGATCTCAGGAGCCTGCAACTCCTTCACTCCTCCTCAGAGACCCCCAGTGGGAGGGCTGAGTGGGGCCTGGTGCCCTCACTTCACAGACAAGGAAATTAGTCCTTCATGTCCAGGTCTGGATGCCATCTGGGCATCGGGCTGTGTAGTCACCCATCAGTTTACTGAGCACATGCCTTCTGAGCACCTGCAGGGCGTGGGGCCGTGGGGTGATAAGGCAAGGCAGAGTGGGTGACTGCTGAGGAGGGAGGAGCTACGCACAGGACCACACAGGGGCACGAGACACATCTGGCAACAGCTGTAAATGAGCTGGGGGCCTCGCATGGTGTGCCTCCCTAAGCCCTCATAACAACCCTGTTTTACAGGTAGGACCAAGGAGGTCAGCAGGAGGACCTTCCCACCTGAGCAGGGAGCAGGCCCGGGCCTTCCGAGCCCAGCTGGGTTTCACATTGTGTAATCGGGGGCAGACCCAAGGGGAATGGCAGGCATTCTGTGTACAGACCCCAGACTGGGCTGCCATGGCCTGACCCACCCCTGCCCTGACAACTCCCAGCCCTGAAAATGCACCAGTTGCTCTGCATCACTCCACTGGCCCTTGCCCAGAACTGGAAACAGGTGAACAGATCCAAGAAACCAGGTCTCTTCAGAGTCTACGTCCACAGCCTGGGTTCGAGGTCAAGGAGGGGCTCCCTGGTAGGGAAAAGGGAAATAGAAGCTACAGAAACCTAGAGTGAGGCTGTGAGGTGGGCAGAGGACCCCGCACCTGGTTCAGGCAAGGAGGGCTCTATGCAGCAGGTTGAAAGGAGGACAGATGGCCGGAGGCTGACATGACAAGACTGGGGACCTGAGCTAGAGGGGGTCCGTGTGGAGATGCACAGGAGTGGCCACCCTGTCGTGGTTCGGGTGTTGGGCCCCTCCCTTTGCTGACTCCCTCTCCTGCAGGAGTAGGAGAGTGGACAGAGGAACTCAGGACCTGTCTCTGGCTGGCTGGACAAGGTGCCATTTCCCATGCCAGGGACTGAGCAGGAGGCTGATGCTGAACCCCGAATGGGCCTTGCTGGGTTCGAGGGGCCCAGTGGCATCCACAGGTCTCCAGCACCCCCCACCCCACTCCTCCTCCAGGAAGCACCCAGGCTTCCTTCCTCAATGCAGTATCCGGACTCCCACAGAGAAGGCTGGGCTGCTAAAAGAGGTCCCAGGTCTGATGCCCCCCATCTCTCCCCTACAGGGAACATCATTGGCTCTGGCATCTTCATCTCACCCAAGGGTGTCCTTGAGCACTCAGGCTCCGTGGGTCTGGCCCTCTTCGTCTGGGTCCTGGGTGGGGGCGTGACAGCTCTGGGCTCTCTCTGCTATGCAGAGCTGGGAGTTGCCATCCCCAAGTCCGGCGGGGACTACGCCTATGTCACGGAGATCTTCGGGGGCCTGGCTGGGTGAGTGTGGGGCTCTGGTGGGGTCGGGGACAGTTTCTCTGAAATAGGACGGCTCTCGAACCCTGGGCCTCAGTCTCCTCTTCTACTTCCCATATTACAGGAAAGTGGATGGAAAGAAGGGGCGAGGGTGTCTGGTAGCCTTCTGAGGCCAAGGTGGGTGGCACCTATGCTTGCCCCACTCTGTGGGTGTCTGCTGACCCCTTGACCTCTCTGTGTCTCCGTTTAAATAGAGATTCCTCTAAGCCCCACTGCTTAGGAGGGAGGAACCCCTTCCTATCTGAAACCTTTAGACAATGCTGGTACCCAGGCCAGGAAGGCTTTGATTTTAGTAAATCCATCTGCTCCGTGAGGAGAGGGAGGAGCATGATATCCTCCTCCTCCCAGACCCTGCCACGGGTCCCCCTCACACAGCTTCCTGACATTCTTTATTCATCCATGAACATTTGCTGAGCACCTGCTTTGAGTTAAGGGCTGGGGATGCTGCAATAAAAAGTTCTGTTCCTCTCCTCAAATTGCTCACAAAGCAGAGACGAACAGCCCCTCGAATGTGACATGACCCAGAGGACCCTTGCTTCGAAGGTGCGGGCAAGAGGCAGCAGCCACCGAACAGAGAACAGGGTGCATGTCCCCCAGGGAAGGGTCCCAGGAGAATCCACATTTGCACCAAGCCTAGGAAGGCTAGAGTTTTTCTAGGCTTCCTGGCCTAGGAGGAGGGCATTTGGTGGGAGCAAGCACAGAGGGCATGGTGGCCTGGCCAGTGCAGACTGTCTGCTGTAGCTACAGGTAAGATCAGGTCCCTGACAGGCACCAGGGCTGGAAGGAGATGGGGGCTTGGAGTTGTTGCAATTGTCCAGAGTCCTGCCAAGGATCTTCAAGGTAAAGGCAGAGACAAAAATAATTTAGAAGCCTAATTCAGGAGGACTGGTAAGATCAGGTGTATTCAGCAGGTTGATAACCATTGTCCCACTTGAGAGGCTTCATAGATGATGGTCCCAGGGATGGGGAGGGGAGATGAGTGTGGGGATTCTCAAGTTGCAGCGGTGTGTGTGGCATGTGCAGGGGGGTCAGGTCTTAGATGGAAGATCCGGAGCTCATAGGAAGGGTCCAGGCTGAAGTTACAAAGTTTGATTCCGAATGACTTGGGCCAGAAGTTCTGAACTTGGCAACTCTGCATGAAACCCTGGCAGGGCATGCACACCCCTGTGGATGTGTCTGTGACTATTCATCTTTCAGGGAGAAGGTTCTCAAAGGGCTGGGACTCAAAGAAATAGAAGAATCACTTTGTGGCCCTGGAGAGAACACTGAGAGAGAGAGAGAGAGAAAAGGGTCAGGACCCACAGTCACCCAGCATGGAGGAGAGTTTAGAGGGGACATCCAGCAAGGAAAGACTATCAAGCTAGAATGTCCCAGAAGCGGAGGAGGGAGGGCTGTGCAAAGAAAGGGTAGGAGAGCTTAGTGACCCAGGAGTTCTGGTATTCCTGATAAGGTACTCCCCCTCCTCAAGGGCAGACCAGGTCCTAGGATCTAGGACCTAGAACACAAAGGCAGACCTTCCCATGGGAGTAGGCAGAGACCCTGGGAACAGAGCCCCCAGCCCACCCTGCGCCCCCTGCAGAGGTGAGATTCTAATAAAAGAGACATAAATCATGATTCCCCACTACCAGCCCCCCGCCACACACACAGGCAGGGCCCCTTTCAGGGTCCACTTCCCACAGACCAAAGGTCCTGGAGATGCTGTGCCACCCTGGCCTTTGCTCCTTCCAGATTCCTGCTGCTCTGGAGTGCCGTCCTCATCATGTACCCCACCAGCCTGGCTGTCATCTCCATGACCTTCTCCAACTACGTGCTGCAACCTGTGTTCCCCAACTGCATCCCCCCAGCTACGGCCTCTCGTGTGCTCTCCATGGCCTGCCTGAGTGAGTGGCCCCCTGAGGAGCCTCTGTCCCCAGAGGCAGCTGACTGCCCCACACCCCATACTGCTCTCTGCTCTGGGTGCAGGGACAGACAGATGGGATCCCCCAGCTAACAGCTCCCCCCAGTGTCATCTTGAGAACCATGTTCTTGCATTCTGGCTGCTGCCTGGGCTGGACCTGCCTGTGGTCCACACTGAGCCACAGGTCCTCCCTGCTTCCCTCCCCAGTGCTCCTGACGTGGGTGAATGGCTCCAGTGTGCGCTGGGCCACACGCATCCAGGACATCTTCACGGGTGGGAAGCTGCTGGCCCTGTCCCTCATCATTGGCATTGGCTTTGTCCAGATCTTCCAAGGTAGGGCCAGGGTGTGGGTGTGGGCAGGGATGGGGGGACCATGCTGATCCCTGATGTCTGGACCCTCAGGACATTTCGAGGAACTGAGGCCCAGCAATGCCTTCACCTTCTGGATGACGCCCTCTGTGGGTCACCTGGCCCTGGCCTTTCTCCAGGGCTCCTTTGCCTTCAGCGGCTGGAACTTCCTCAACTATGTCACCGAGGAGCTGGTTGACCCTCGCAAGTGAGTGAGGCATCTGGCCAGCTAATGGGAGGGCGAGGTCCAGCTAATGGGAGAAGCAGCCTGTCTGCACAGATCCGCTGTTACCTGTGGCTCGGACTGGTCATCTGCTGCCCCGTAGGAACAGTCCTGGAAAGAAAGCCAGGACACTGTGTTCTAGCCTGGTCCCATTCTGTGTGGCTGTGGATGCATCAGAGCCCCTTGCTGGGCTTCAGAAAGACAGAGTATCATCGTCCTGCTTTAAATAGATCCAGTGATTTGCATTTGGCCCAAAATTATACATATGCACACAACATGGTGCCTACAAATGAAGCCAATGACTCTATTTGATACTCAGCCAGGGATCTTTGGGCGGAGACAAATAGAGAATCCCCCGGGGGGACCCTAGACCTGCAGACTGGGCTTTAGGGGAACTCACGGGATGGTCCAGGCAAATATTGGCTGTATTCAGTTTTCTCCTTATGTGCAAATGTTAGTGAGACCCCCACCCTCAGGACGGGACATGGCTTCCTCCTTCATCTGCTCTTTCTCCTCCCAACCTGTGGTCAGAGAGGAGTGGAAGGAAAGGTCATCAGCAATGTCCTAAGTTACAGTGCTGTCCCCACCCCTGCCCCAACACCCCCAGTGGACCCAGGAGATGAGACTTAATGCTGCTCCTGTTGCTGGGTCCCTTGGCCCCCACCTGGGCCCCAGATGTCCCCCCACCAGGGACTGACACTGACTCCCTCCACTGACGCCTCCAGGAACCTACCTCGTGCCATCTTCATCTCTATCCCTCTGGTGACCTTCGTGTACACGTTCACCAACGTTGCCTACTTCACCGCCATGTCACCCCAAGAGCTGCTGTCTTCTAACGCAGTGGCTGTGGTGAGTGGGGGCACCTGCCTGATCCCCAGCCCTGCCCCACCCTACCCCAGCCTCATGTGCTGCCTCTCTTCTGTGCCCACGCAGACCTTCGGGGAGAAGCTGCTGGGCTACTTTGCATGGGTCATGCCCGTCTCCGTGGCTCTTTCCACTTTTGGAGGGATCAATGGCTACCTGTTCACCTCCTCCAGGTGACTAGGCTGGGGAGGGGGTTGTCATGGTGAGGCAAGGCAGGTGCCTTGATGTCTGTGAACCGTGCTAGGAACTACTGGAAAGGAAAGCTGAGATGGTGACCTGCCAGTAACAAATGTGTGATCCCCACCCTAAGGTAAAGCTAGCAGGAAAGAAGCAGGCTAGCTGAGGGTGAGAGCTGCCCAGTCAGGGCTGCTAGGATCTGAAGTGAGTCAGAGGTGACAGCTTGAGGGGGACATCAGAGCTGAGATCCGGGATCTAGCTGGTAGGAAAGTGCTGAGCCTGGGCTGACAGCCCCTACCTATTCTGTTCCCAACCCCAGGCTGTGCTTCTCTGGAGCCCGAGAGGGGCACTTGCCCAGCCTGCTAGCAATGATCCATGTCAGACGCTGTACCCCCATCCCTGCCCTCCTTGTCTGTGTAAGTTGGGGGACCCAGGCCAGGCAGCATGTGGAGCCAGGGCCACCCAGCAATGGGGGATTTCTGGACGATGCCAGGGATGGCCGTGGTGGACACCCCATGGAGAATGGGGATGGGGTGGGGATTCATGCCACCTCCGGGCCAGAGTGGGAGAGGCCAGGGCAACCGGGGAGGGCAGAAGGCAGGTGGGAGGCCAGCTGTCAGCCTCAGGTCCTCTCCCAGTGCGGGGCCACCGCGGTGATCATGCTTGTGGGAGACACGTACACACTCATCAACTACGTGTCCTTCATCAACTACCTCTGCTACGGCGTCACCATCCTGGGCCTGCTTGTTCTGCGCTGGAGGCGGCCAGCACTCCACAGGCCCATCAAGGTGAGGCCCAGGAGAGAAAAGGTAGGCCGATGTGCCAGAAACTGTCAGGGCCATCCTTTCGTCTGAGCTGGGCACCAGGGACAGGGCCAATGACCACAGTGACAGTGACTACACCTTTTGCAGAAGGCTGGGCTTTCTAAGCACTGATATATCTGCTCCTCCTAACGAGAGGGCTTTGAATACTCCAAGTCGACAGATAGGGAAAATGAGGCTAAGGGACCTACTTAAGGTCACACAGCATCCGCCATCCCATGTGAAAGCAAAAGACAGTAAACCAAGCTAAAAGTAAAAGCCCTCCATTTGCACACAAAGCAAACTGGCGAAGTGCTCAGTGCCTGAAATGTGAAACCCCCGCAAAATAGTTGGAACTCCAGCCAAGTGCAAGCAAAAGAAATCCACACACAACAGCTATGTTGAGGTCAGGGTGGCTGAAAGTGACCAAGGCTCAACAGTTTGGCCAACTGGTCAACCCATGTATTGGCTTCCAGCACAAGGGGCTGCTGGCCAGAGGGGGGACCTCTCAGGCCCCAGCTCCCAGGAAAGGAAGGAAAGCTTCAGACCTGGGGGGGGGGGGTGGGTGTAGGGCAGGAGAGCCACCGGGGATCTTGCACCATCTGCAGTAGTCTCGTCCGTCCTTCCGCAGGTGAACCTGCTGGTCCCGGTGGCGTACCTGGTATTCTGGGCATTCCTGCTGGTCTTCAGCTTCATCTCGGAGCCCATGGTCTGTGGGGTTGGCGTCATCATCATCCTCACAGGGGTGCCCATTTTCTTCCTGGGAGTGTTCTGGAGGAGGAAACCAAAGTGTGTACACAGACTCACAGGTGAGCCGGCGGCCTTGCTGAGTGTCCAGGGCTTGGAGAGGGACCCTCTTGGGATCCCGATCCAGAACAGGGTCTCCCAGATGCTCATCTGGTAGCAGAGGGTCCAGCCCCTTCCACATGTCTCCCCAAGATGTGGCCAAAGAGGGAGAAGCGCCCCGAAGACCCCTGCCCAGGGGAGGTGTCCAGAGGTGGGGTTACCCCTTGTCCCAAAGGATCAGATCCCAAGGTCCATCTGCCCCTCTGTCTGTCCTCAGAGTCCATGACACGCTGGGGCCAGGAGTTGTGTTTCGTGGTTTACCCCCAGTGCTCCCCCGAGGAGGAGGAGGAAAATGGCCCCTACCAGCCCTTCCCACTGCCGGCCACGGACAAGCCCTTAAAGACACAATGAGACATTGGTAGAGACTGAAGCAGCTGTTTCTGTTTACATGTTGTTTATTGAGGAGGTGTTTTTGCAAAATCTTTTTTTTTTTTTTCCTGGAAAGAAGAGATATGACTCTTAGAGGCCTGTCGTAAGGAAGCCCAGACAAGGTGGACGGGGGGTTTCCTGCCTTAGCACTGCCCTGCTAGCTTTTTCTGAAAAGGCCTACAAATAAACAGGGCTGGTTGTTTGCTTGTGCTCAGGGGAGTCCCTGGTGGACCCTGATGGGGGCAGGTGGTGGCATACCTCCCCGGGGGGCACGCACATTGCTAGTTGGGTAGATGCCACGGCAGACCCTGGAGGAGATGCCACTGAGGAGGCTCTTAGTCTCTGAGGGTCTTGACGCTTGACTTAGGGCTGGCTCAGTGAAGCCCAGAACCAACCTGCCTAAGAGGGACAGTGAGAGAAAGCTGCTCCATCTGCCCCTTCCCTGGGTCACCCCAGGCCAACCTCAGGGAGCCCGGGGATTCCTGGCCAGGATCATCTTTCTTCTCATAAGTCACCAGAGTGAATGTTGGGACTTGAGTGCCCACAGCCTCACCCTGCTCTACAGGTGGGGAAACTGAGACCCTGAGACAGGACGGGATGGATTTGGCTACTATCCCCTTGGTGCCTCAGCTTCTGTCCCCTGAGAAAGCAGGATAGCCTGGAAACCTCAGGGCTTGCAAAAGGTCTCATGGCCCTCAACCTCATACCAACATTTCCAGCCCTGCCACAGTCCCCTGGAAGTTGACCCCTCGGTCAGATCACAAACGGCAAAGGGCACCAGCCTGGCCAGGCCCATGATGGCTTCATGGAGCAGAACCACCTCGCCCAGCTCCTCGGGGGGCCCTGCTAGGAAGGATGGGAAGAGGATTCAGTGTGGACAGAGCCCTCACCACTGGTGAAGCCCAATACCCCCAGGGTCCCTTTCAGTCCTATTACTATAGCTTCTGGCACAGCTCTGGGAGGAGCTGGTGCCACTATAGTGGGGGAATGAAGCAAAAAGCCACACAAAACACCCCAGAGAGCCCTGCTCTGGCCTCTCTGCCTCTCTGGAAATGGATTCCCAGGTTTGAAGTGGAGTGGAAGAATCGGTAGAAGTGAGACCCCAAGGTGCTTATGTGTGCAGGGACCCCAAAGATAGGCTCGTCACTCCACCCTCTTTCCCCCAGCCAACCCCCAGCCCCCCTCTGCCATGCCCACCCAAGTTGATACAGGCTGCTGGCTCAGGGCCCAGACCCTCCAATGGGGCTGCTGGTGGGCCTCTTGCTCTGCAAGAAAGGACGCGGAGGCAGGGTAGAAATGACTGTGTATTCCCTGGTTACAAAGCGGGGCTATGGCGGTCACCAGCGTGTGTTGTGGGTCAGCAGACCAGCAGAGCCTCATCGTCACTGGCCTCCAGTGTTGGGGAGCAGGGTGGTGGGGAGCTCCTGCAGACCTCCAGTGGCTCTGGGGGGTGGGGGTCTGGGGTGCTGCTGGCAGTGGGAGCCTGGGGGTAAGGGTCCTGGGCCAAGCAGGGCTCAGGAATTGTGTCCGGAGGGGCCGGGCTATCCACCAGAGGTTCCCTACAGGCCTTTCTGTCCTTGTTCACAGGCCCATACTCTGGGTCTCGCAGGCCCGAGGGCGCGGGTGACACTGAAGTTCCCACCTCTGGTGCATGGCCAGGGGCACTGGGAGGTCCATCCCCAGCTGCTCTGGGGCTGCCTGTGTCTGTGTGGGATGCTGGGGGATCCGGGGCGGCCCCGGGTGCAGGCTGGAGGAGCCCGTCGCCCAGCACCGTCTGTGATGTGCGTGCAGCAGTCAGCAGTGGAATCTGGCCCCGAGGTGCCCGTGGCCGGTGAAAAAGCCGGTTCCAGAGGCGGCCCAGACGGCGGCGGGAGGGCCCCCGGCGGGAGGCGTGCCGGCGCATCTGTCTCCGCATGGCTGTGCGAAGGTTCTGTAGCACCGAGGCCTAGAGGGTGGGGCAGCAGCTAAGGGAGTAGCCACTTAGGGGCAGAGGTCAGCACACCCCCAAGGAACCCAAGACCAACTCGCACCCCCTCTACCTGCCTGGGGTCCCCTTAGGTCACTAGCCCAGGTCTCACCTCCCCCTTCTGTGACCCCTGGACCAGGCTGTCCCACACGCTGTCCTTCCTGGCCCTTTGTCCCTCTGGTCTTGGGTCACACCTGCGGAGGCTCACCTGGGATGCACTGTAGACGGGAAAATCCTCCACGGGTGGGATGAGGCCCTGTGCAATGAGCTGACCATAGGATGGGGGTGCCTCCCGCCGCACAAACTCGGCCTCTAAGCGCGTCATCTGGGTCTCGAAGGCCCTGAAAGCAGTGGACAGAAGGGAAGTGTGGCAGGGCTGGCCAACTTCCTGGTGGTCCCCAACAGGACTCAGGGACTCTGCCCCTCCATCTGGAAAACGGGAGCTGCCCAGACCCAGCAGTGCCCACTGGAAAGGCCTGAGCCTCCATGGGCAAACCCACAGCTGCACACACGGTGAGCAGGGAAACCAAGGGCCCCGGCCACGGAGGGGCACCCACCTGTACTCCTGCGTGCGCAACGAGTAGAGCTTGAAGGCGCAGCCCAGGGCGATGACAAGCAGCAGGCCACACACCAGGCTGCCGATGAGGGCAGCGGTGATGACCTTGCGGGGCACAGCGGCCAGGCAGCCGTGCTCATCGCTGCCGTCCTGGCAGTCCTCCTGGCCGTCACACCGCCACGTCTCAAAAATGCACAGGTTGGTCCCGCAGTGGAAGGTGCCGGGCTGGCAGGAGAAGCAGTTCTTCTCATCGGCGCCATCTGGGCAGCTTTTCTGGTTGTTGCAGCGGTCAGCGGGTGCATAGCAGAGGCCACTGCCACCCTCGCAGGGGTATTGGTCGGGTGGGCAGGCGGGGCAGCCCTGCTCATCCCGGCCGCTGGCACAGTGCCACCAGCCATCACAGCGCTGCGGCTCTGAGAAGCAACCCTGGTCTCCGGTACCACTGTCATCCCCCTCGCTGCTGCTCCCGCATGGCTGCTCCCACGGGAGGCAGTAGCCCTTCACCTGGTAGGTGGCATTGAAGCCATGGCCAGCGCTGCGGGCGCGGGCATGGTAGGCCACAGTGAGGCGGCCCTGCGCAGCCTCGAGGCTCACAGGCCGGTGGTTGCTGCGGTAAGACAGCGTCTGCAGCAGGCGGTCCCCGCGCTCGCCCAGGCCCTCATACACCTGTACATAGTCGTCGTAACCCAGCCGCAGCTCCAGCTGCAGCAGCACACGCCGAGGGTCCTGCGTGTCCACCAGCCATGTGCAGTGAAGGTCCGAGGGCCCACGGGCCGCACCAAACAGGTCTGGGGAGGCGAAGGAGCCATAGAAGCTGCCCAGCCGCCGACCGCATGCCAGGTCGGGGCAGCCAGCCTCATCAGAACCGTCACCACAGTCCTGCGTGCCGTCACAGCGCCGCTCCACAGGCAGGCAGCGGGTGGACCGTGCCCCACTACAGGGAAAGGTGCCCCCAGGGCACAGGCTGCCTGGAGGCTCAGAGGCAGGGGCAGAGCAGTTGCCCTCATCAGAGCCATCTCCACACTCATCCACAGTGTTGCACTGCCACGGGCCTGGAAGGCACTTGCCGTTGTCACAGCGGAACTCATCTGGCTGGCAGGACACCTGGCCCAACTTCCCTGTAGGAAGGAGGTAGAAGGAGGCAGTTAGGGGAGAGCAGAGCCCCCCTCCAGCATGGGGGCTTGGGGCCAAGAGTGGGCAGGAGCACCCCCCATTGCAGCTGGGACCAGGAAGGGCCAGGCCACTGGGATTCCTAAGTGGGCTCATTCTCTGATCTGACCTTCGCCTGAGGGCAAGTCTGTGAAGTGGGGTCAGTGACCTGGAGAGGTTCTGGTGCAGCAGCTTAACAGCCCCACCCACATCCTAAGATGGACAGGGCTGGTCAGAGTGAACCCTGCAAGGAGTAGAGGGCACCGCCCCAACCCAGGAGCCAAACACTGAGCATTCCATGCTGTCCCCACCCTGATCTCTGGTTGGCATCACCTCTGATGTAGGAGAGGCGGAAGCCCTGGGCTTGGCCAGAGCTAGAAGCGTCTGAGTGGAAGAAGATCCAGACATGGTCCCGGGCAGAGATGAAGGCGGGCGGGATGGCAGAGCCGCAGAGCCGGAAGGCCTCTTGTCGAGGCGGGGCCGCTGGACCCAGCAGGAGCCAGTCCAGGGAGCACTGATGGGACTCCTCCACATCAAAGTTGCGGAAACTACAGGGACAGACAGAACCACAGAAATGGGTGGGGCAGGCAGAGATGCCATGGACTGGCAGAGTGTTCAGGCCAGAACTCACAGCGACGATGGCCAGCCTGCCCCACCCACTACCCCTGCCCTGTGTCTCCCAAACTGCCTGCTCTTCCACCTAGAGGTCCAAAGAATCATGACATCTGTGGACAGCATTGGTCACACTCAACTTGGTTGCAGCTCCCTGTCTTCCTCCATCAGCCCACACACAGCAACCCAGCCCAAGGCCAAAGTGGGAGGGTCAGGAGCCACCTGGACACTTTCCTCTGAAGGGTGGAGGCTGAAGGGCCCCCATCCCTCCCAGACCTGGTCAACTGGAACAGACCCCACACAAACTCCCAGAGATGGCATTGAAGATAAGGCTGTGCCCACAGGGCCAGTGCTGCAGCTGGGTGACAGCTAATCACCTAGGGAGGAACCTTGGCCCTGGAGCCATGGCTTGTGGCCATAGGGAAACTGAGGCACAGAAACCAAGATAGCCCCTGTTCAAGGCCTTCACATCCCTGTCTTTGGGAGCTGTGGAGTAACTGGGCCCTGGGCAGCGGTGTGCCAGGGGTGTCTGGACTTTGGCATTTAGGAGAACAACAGCAGGTGGAACCCACAGTAACCCCCTAACTAAATGTCCCCATGACCATCTCAAGCCAGGCCTTCCAGCTCCTCAGTGCCGCTATCTGTTCCCACACCCCCGTTTCCTTCTGCATATCTCTGCAGCTCAAAGGCACAGCTCCTGCCTGGTTCCCTTCCCTGCTGAGACCACCGCAGGCCCCTTGGGAAAACTGTGTTCTGGGCTCTGTGCCAGCCTGGCCTCAAGCCACCCCTGCAGGACAGAGGATAGCTCTGCTAGGTCAGAGGCAGTCAGATCAGGCCCACCAGTTCCCAGGGCTCAGGACAAGAGACCTGGCTTGGAACACCCAGTCACAGAGGCCCAGGGAGCTGGGCACACTCACATGCTCATGTGCATTCACATAGGCGCACACATGGTCACACGTGTCCTCTCAGACACCTCATGCATGTGCTCCCTGCATCTACAGACATGGGCTCATGCATGTGTATGTGCTCATACGCAGGTCCTTGAGGCCTGCTCAGGAATGGGCTTGTGCAAGTCCACAAATGCATATGCATACTCACACACCTGTCCATATGCTCACCCAGCATGTAAAGTCCCACACTGATTGCCCCCAACACCCTCAAGGGCCTCCTACCTGATGGTGATCATGTCCCCACGGTCACCTTGGATGTACCAGCTGCAGTTGGTGCCTGGTGGGTAGTTGAGGGGCCAGGCTGGGCTGTAGATGACACCGCGCCGTTCTGTGTGCTGCTCCAGCTTCCCACTGCAGGCAGCTGTCAGGAGAGGAGGCTGAGAAGTGCCCACCCCACGTCTGGGTGGAGAGGGGGTTGGGGGTGTGCTTGAGCGCAGGTCTTTCCCATGGTGCCATCAAGTGCAGCTAAGGGTAGCCAGCCATGAACTCAAGACTTCATAGAAGAAGTGGGGGTGGGGGAGGTCCAGGAGGGTTCTCCTGGACTTGGGGCAGCACAGCGCCCATCCCATGCTGTAGGCCAAAGCCCAGGTCTCTGGAAGGGCTGAGAGTGAGCCACCAACTCCCCCTGGCAACCAGCACCTGCCAGGGCAGCACCATTGCCTCAGGGCCTCAGCTCAGAGAGAATTCTGCACCCTGGGCCTGCTAGGCTTACCAGCCATCTCACTGGGGTCCCCTGCCTGCCCGTCCTGGGGCCTGCCAAATGCACATCAGCCCTGGGAGGAGAGGGGCTTTGTTCACATTCACTGAGCACCTACTATGTACCAAACAAAAGTGATAGGCATGCTGAGTAAGGCAGGCCAAAGTCCTGCCCTGGGGAACTCACAGGCTGGGGAGGGAAGCAGACAACTTATACAGAAGGCCTAGTGACGATTATGACACAGGCCCGGAGGGAGGCAGCAATGTCCAGGAGTGGCTGGAAACACAGGCTGGGGCTGAGTGCACCTTATGCAGAGCTGGGGTCTTACCCTGAGTATACATGGAAAGCCACTGAAGGCAGAGGTCATAACCAGAGAAGGAAAGAGGCTCAGAGAGGATAAATGACTTGCCCAGGGCCACATAGCCAGTGAATGACAGAGTCAGGATTCACTCTGGTCCTTTAATGAGCTCAGCCTCTCACAGCCAGCCCTAAGCCAACAAGCATTTATAGAGTGTCGACTGTATGCCATGTCCAGGATGGACACAGAGCAGCACACTGACCAGTGTGACTGAGGAGCCCACCACACTACTGGCTTCCCTTTAACTGATTCATTATCTGCAGCCTCCACCTGCTAGCTGAGCCCACCCAGGCTGAAGGCACCAGACCGCAGGGGCAGTACAGAATACCCAGGCGTTCCAGGGCCAGGCAGTAGGCCTATACACTTGGTGCACCTTCTCACAGTACCCTCAAGCCTGCACCATGTCAGTTTATCTGATCTAATCTGGGACAAATGCAAGATACATTTTATAGATGGAGGAAACTGAGGCTCAGAGAAACAAGTGATGATCAAGTGACCTCCCCCCCTTAACTTCCCACTCTTGCCCCAGAAGCCACGTTCTCTCTACCCCCTCAGCAAGACTCTCTGGGACTCCAAATGGGGCAGCTGCAGTAAGAAGGAAAGCCTTCTGGTCTCCCTACACTCCATGCTCTTGGGACAAGCACAAGATTCACTCATCCACCCTATCAGCCTCATGGCTCCCATAACCTCAAGCCCCCTGGTCCTGCGCATGGAGAGATTTTGCTCCTGCTGAGCCCTGAAGGGTTTTTCCCTACTCTCCTATTTCACGCCTGCTCAGCTTCAGCTGTCAAGTCCCAGGTCCCTTCTCAGAGACAACCTTCCCAGGCTGCCCCAGTGAAGTCCCCATCCCCCACCTCTCCTCCCCAGCATCTACCAGGGCAGGGATTTCCCTCTCCTCCCCAGCATGGGTTGATGACAGGCTTCCACAAGAGGGAAGGACTGTGATGCTCTAGCCCAAAACCCTGACCCCAGGAGCCTGCCACACATGGCCAGTCACCCTGGACCACTGAGTGGTCAATCCATGTACCCACTGAGCATCATGCTGAGGGACAAGCTGTGAGCTGAGGCTCCTTCTGCTTGGGGACCAGTCATGACCATGGGGTCCAGATTATCCAACATTGTAACCGCAAACTGGTCACCCCCGCTGACTGCTCACAAGAGCATCAAAAGGCTAGAAGAGAAATGCCACCCTTGGCCCTAAAGAAGCTTGGCCACCATAAGGCCATCAGAGCCTCAAAAGTCCCAGCTCAGCAAGTTTATAAGCCAGTGTCCCTAGACCTGGTGCTTCCACATGGTCCTGGGAGACAGCCTTCTGTGCTTTAGGTTCTTCCCTTTCCAGGAAATGGGAGCCACGTGACCACTCCCAGGACAAGAAGACAAGCACTAAACAAATGGAACAGGTCTTAGCCAAACGTATGAGGGACCCCCAGCCCCAGCCTAGTTCCTGTTGATGGGTGAGGCCATTGGTCACTCGGGTCTCCCAGAGACCTGAGTGCTGACCTGGGATGCCCGGGAAGGTTTCTCTCTCCAGAAGGTGCTGGAAAGGAGGTTCCTGGGAATGGAGGGCCCAGCAAGGCTGAGGGCACAGCTTGCCCTCATATCAAGTCTCTAGGGCATATTAAACCAGAGCACCAGGCCTCTGGGTCAGCAAGGGCAGGAAACAGCCCTTGTTCATCTTTATCCTCAGCTCCAAGGACAGGGCTGCCCCAGCCCCACAGGGGATAGACAGAGACCTACTCGTCTTGTCAGGACAATAAGAGGCCACATGTCTCATCCACACTGGCCAAGGAAAGCCAGGCCCCTCCAGTGTCACCAGCCACTTCAGTCTCTTCCCAACTGCCCTAGCCAGAATACATCTCCCTGCTACCCCCTGTGGCTGGCCATTCACTCAAAGGTGGGGAAGCCTGTCCGGATGACTGGACCAGTACCTGCCAAGCTCTGGCTTTCCAAATACCAGTGACATGTCCTCCCAGATGGCCTCAACTCCAAAGGCCCCCAGCACTTCCCCAGAAATCCCCACGTCAGGGGCATCAAGGGCATTGGCCCTCTGTTAACTGTCTGCTCTTCTCCAGAGTGGGTCACGGGCAGGGGGAGGTGTCTGCAGCCACCAGCCCAGCCTGGTGCAGACGGAGTGTGGAGCAGAAGGGAGGCTGGGGTCTTCCAGGAGCTCCATCAGGGACTCTTGACTGGATGCCACTTGGCCATGGGCCTGGTGGATGCCCCCAGCTCAGACAGGGGCCCTCTAGCTCTGTCTCTGCAAAGGCAGCCTCATCACACCCCCACAGCACCACCCCAGGGCCCAGGGCCAGACAGGGATAAGGTCATGAATCCAGTCCCAGCGTCATACAGACAGACAACATTCTGCCCTGAGCCTTAGCTTGTCTGTCAATAAAATGGAATCAGTGTATGTTGCTTGTTTCAGTGGGATGATTTAAGTGATGGGGGGGCTATCAGTGGGGCAGGGGACTCTCCAGGAAGTGAGGGTTGGGTGAGGGTCCGTAGGCTGGGTGGACAGAGGAGAGAAGGGAGAACCATGAGTTTGGGAGATACTAATGCAGAAGAGGGCTTCAGGGGTGTTTGGGGCACACAGAGAGGAATGTCTGAGCTGACCTCACTCTGGCAGAAGATTGCCTCTGCTCTCGACGCCCGCGTAAGTGGGAAAGAGATGACTGGGCACTTTAAAGGACAGTGTCCTTTTTCCCTGGCCCAAAAGTCGTCAAATACTCCCGAGAGGACATGAGCAAGAACTGATGAAGCACAATTTGCAGATCTGATTTCCAGAGGTGAGATCGATACTCTGGACAAGCCATCTGGGTAACCTGATGGCAGGGAGCTTGGAGACCCATCCCAGACACTCCGGGAAATCGTCAGATGAGTGTCAGGCAGCATAAGCCCTGCCCAGGCTCACCTCTTGGGGCCTCACTGGGTTCTGGGGAATGTGGGAGGTGGGTCCTCTGATCCAGTCAGTCCCTGACATACCTGGGGCAGAGCAGAGACTGTGAGGTTCCTGGGCAGCCTAGCTGGGTCCTGGAGATTATCTGAGCCCAGGGCAGTTCTGAGAAGAGGTGGGGGAGTGGTTCCTGATCTGGTCTCCTTCACAATAGGAACAGCAGAGAAAGTTCTACAAATGCAGAGTCGCGAAGCATTATTGGAAGGGGGAGCCTCGGTCCGTCAGAAGCTGGTAGTAATGCTGGAGGGATCAGAGCTAGCGTCCCACACTACCACCTATCATCACACAAGCTGTGTGTAAAATCACAACACCAAGGGCACCATGCATGGGAATCGATGTGCAAACAGCAACCCCTGGAGTTGAGCAATGTGGGCCCTGCTGGGGCCCAAGGTCTTAAAAGCTAAGAACAATCAAACATGAAGACCCAGACAGGTGTCTTTCTCCCCCAAGCTCCATGAGTGGTCCTTCTCTTTGGAGCATCACTTTTCCAACCCTGAATGTAGCAGATATGTTTGGGGCAACATGCCTACCCACCACCTTAGCAGAAGAACTGGCCTGGGGCTCATGTTTGTGAGATGTGAAACCTTCTTGTCCCTTTCTCCTACTCTACCCTGACCACAAACATCTGATTCTGGCTAAGCCAGTCTTTTCCTGGAAATTGGGATAGGAGACCGGAATGTCCTCTCTGCTGGAACATCAAGCAGGACTAGGCTGGTCAGTGCTGAGCAAGGCCAGGCCCTGGGCCAGCCCAGGTTAGCAGTGGACACGTGGCTGCAGAGAGTGTGGAGCTCAGGTGCAGAGAGACTTAGGAGGCAAGCAGAAGCCAAGTCTTTGAGACGGGCAGGCAGACCAGCCTCTGTGCCCTGACCTTCCTATCCCTGTGACTGCAGCCAGCAAGGGTACCTCCCCCTGAGAGTTCCTAGTACCTGAGCCAGGCTCAATGGGTTTCTGTAGCCAGCCAGTCCCTGAGCAGAACTAGAAACCTCAAACAGCTCCTGCCCTACCATGCAGCACAGCAGACAAAAAGCAAGTCCAGGGTCCCAGATTGGGCATCACACATCTTCCCTGAGGACTTTGAGTTAACTTTGACCCAATGTTTTTATGCAAATACCTGTCCTTACTTGAATAGCATTTTAGGGTTTGCTGAAGATGCCTCTATATAGGTGGAATGAGTAAGAGATGGTGAGGTTTATCAGGGTGTATCAATTACAGTACAGGCTTCCCTCGTGTCCTTTCTCAGAACTCTCTGAATGGAAGCGAAGGCCACAAAGGCCTGGATTTATCCATTCACCAATCCCTGGCAACCCCTCAGCGATGGAGGATAGATGTTCTTGGCTGCCCCTCCTGCTCCTGACAGTCTTTGCTATGCTAGGCACCAGGCCAGAGCCCTAAGATGGCCACTGGATGACCAACCCACACTGACAGGCAGGAGGCCAGCACGGAGCCTTCAATGTGCTCCTCGCATCCTGTGTGTACTACTGGCCAAAGTCGATCTCTCTCCTGCAAGTCAACAGCCCAATGCTCACCTTTCCTGTGCAGTGTTCCCAGGCTAGGCCCTCACCTGCCCTCTACCTGCCTCTCACACACCAAGCCCATACTTCCCCAGCCCTGATGCATTCTAGGACCCAGGACCAGGAGCTAGAGACCACCCTACAGCCCATGTCCCCAGGATTATTCAAAACGGCCTGTCCTGAGCTGTTTGCTCTGCCTGCCTTGACTTTCCCACGGAAACCCCAACAAAGGCTCTGGCCTCTCCTTTCCCAAACCTAGTAATCCCCCATGGTCCTGTGTGGTACAGCATGTCCCCATCTCTCATGAGGAGACAAAAATTCTACCAATGGTCTTGGTTTCTCTGTGTCATCACTCAGTCCTACTTCTGTAAGTTGAATCATTATTTTAACACAGGTCAGCATCTCAGGGCCCGAAGGAACCCCACGGCCTACAGGAGGCACAATCTGTCAGTTGCACAAGGTGCTGGTAGTTTGCCAGTAGTAATAAGCCACACATGCCAGACCCCATGTTGAGTGTCTTGCCTTATTGGTTTATATTTAATATAAAGACCATATTTTGATGTAGACCTTTATTCATCCATTTAACAGAAGAGGAAACTGAGGCTCAGGGAAGTTCAAGCTTGCCCAAAACCAAAGAGCTCCTTTATGATGGAGAAAAGATTCACAAGAACTGATTTTCTCCATAAGAGGCCAGCAAACTGCAGGGTGGAGCTAGGATCTGAAGGCCGGTCCTCAAAGGTCAACAACCCAGAGGGGCTGGAAGGAGAGGAAGAAAGCGCTTACTTACCTAGAGCTGGAACTGCACTGCTGAGCTTTCCCGTGAGAAAGAGGTTCACTGTGGGAGACATAAAGAGGGGTCAGAAGGGCATAGTGGCCCTCAGGGTCCCAGGCACCTACTCTGGGCCAGTGGCAGGCCTTGCAGGGGAATAGAACAACACAGCTGAACCTGGTCCCTTTCACAGGGCAAGGCCCAGAGTGCTGCTTGAGGCTTTTGCTCCACCCCTAGTTCTGCTGGGATGCATAGAGGCAAGGACCCCAGAGAGACCTGACACATCCATGGCCAGAGAGAGCAACGTGCTAGTCTGGTCCCGTCAAACCACATCATATCACTTAGGGGGTTTCCTCTTAGAGCCACCCATCACAGAGACCTGGTTCAGCCACGTCACCTACCCAGCAGCCAGAAAGGGAAGGGAAGAAGTTCTAATTATCCCCATTTTACAGGGACACTCATCTAGAACAGCGACCCTCTTCACTGAGCCACTCTGACCTTGGGAGGGAAAACAAAGAATTATCCTGCCACCCCCTCAAGTACCCACCTCCATAAGGTTCTTTTGCTTTTATCTACTGCTCTGATCAGGGGGTCTCAGGCCCAGAAGAGAACACAGATAAAGTGGAAGGCAGACCTAAGTTCCTGGGGTTCAGAGTGCTTCCCTCCCCCATCAAAGATGCCAGTGAATCAGGGAGCATTTCTGGAGGGTCATTGCAGACCTGGTCACCTGTCCTGGGCCACTTCAGGACACCCAGATTCTGCCAGGCAGAGCCATATCCCATATCTGAGCAGGAAGGAACTGCTCACCAGGGGACACAGCAATGCAGAACCCAGAACCCATGACCACAGCCAAATTGAGAGGTGGACATTCTGGAGGTTGTGTCCCTTATTAAGACCAGCTCACACAGCTGGGGCACAGCCCCCTGATTGGTAGGGGACAGAGGAGGATACAGCTTAAAACCAATGGAGTTGTTCTTCACTTTGTCATTTCAGTCGTTTCAGCAAATTGGTCAGGTTAAAGAGCCCTCATCAGTGACATCACCCTGTCCCTTAATGACCCTCAGCTCTGCTAAGGGCCTCCCTCCTCCTTCATGGAGGTAAATAAAGGAGCCATGTGAGTTGAGCATTTAACTCCTTCCTTCCCCTCTGCGCAACGTGGGTCGTGGAAAAGTGGACAGAAAAACTCTTGAGGAGGAAAGGAGCCCTGGCCCAGGTGCCAGGCCTGGACAGGTCTCTGGCCATCCAGGAACTCGCCATCCTGTGCTGAACCGGCCCGCCCGCTGGGGCTGAGACGACACAAAGGGAAAATGAGTCATTCGCACAGCTGCCTTCTCTCTGGAATCCTCCCCCGGCCCCGCATCCTGAGTCCCCTTTTGGCTAGCACCCACCCCCGCCTAAACTCCAGGCAGGAAACAGTTCCTTCTTCTGAGGGCCTTTGTCAGCTGCTCTGGAGGCCCAGATCGCCACCAAGCTGAGTGCCGGCCGGCGGGGATGAGCTGCTGCTGCCAACCCCAGACCCTGGCGGACCCATCTCCTGCACCAACCCGCCGCCTGTGCGCCGCTCACCGCCGGCGCCAGAGCGCTACTCGGAGGCGGGCAGGGGCCAGGACTACGCGCTGAGCCGCCCTCCCAGGCCTAAGGCCCGAGCAGGCCGAGAGGGCTCGGGAGCAGGA